TTTTGTAAGTTCTTAAACACACATTCAACGTTCTTATTCAAGCAAAATTCACGAACATATTTGACTTGCTTTCATAGCAAGAATTCCCCTCGTATACATTGCGACGGATATTTTTAAGTAGCACAGTGTCAATCCTTTTATTTAACGCTAACAGCGGGGGTCTTTGTCATCAGGCACTTTCCAGGAGCCTCAGCTGCCTCCATTAGTGACGTGAATGTTTGGAGTTGCCATGGTTTTAAGGTGCGTTCCAATTAAACGTTGGAATGGTCAACCGATTTTCAAAAAATCATATCTCCATATAGAGTCACAAGATCACGTGGTCTCTCACGAGTTTTGCTTTTCACATTTACATATTTACAAATTACATTTGTGAGGAATGGTGAACCTGTGTGAATGTCAAGCCAGAGGTGTTGAAAGAACAGTGAACTATAGCACATGAATTTTTTTTTTTTTTAAGATGAGGCACCGGATGTTGAAAGGAGCCTGAAGCTCCAAAGCTCTACATTTTTGCTTGAAGAAAATATGTAACTGCTGTTGAGCCCAAGTCTTCCTGCTTCAGCCTAGTTTCCTGTAACAATCAGCTTTCAAGCTAATTTCCTTCTCTATTGATTAAATAGATGGCATATAGTGCCATCTAGTGGTCATTTGAGTCCTAGATATTCTCCGCGTCCGCCATCTTGGATGTGGCAGAACTACCCTTAACTAAAAAAAAGGAAATGGACTGAACTTCATGAAGCTCTTTTCTACAGCGTGCTTTAAGTTAATGCATCTTATTCACACACACTCATATATCTGGGAAACAAATTGGCACAAAAATATTTTAAAAATATGTCACTTTTAAAGTGGTCTAAAAGGATATAAGTAATCACCAAACGTAGCGTCTGTACTTTTTTCATGCTGAGTGTTTTCAGCTACTAATGTGCCTCGAGCCTCGATTTCTGGGTGTGATGGACAGTTATCCTCTGGGCTGGGCCTTGAAGAGGGAGGACGGCTGGACATAACCCAGTGTTATTGGCCAGTTAGCTCTGAAATGATCAGGAGGAGGAGTCGCGACAGCCAGAGAGTTTAACACAAACGTATAATTCTAAATGGAATAATATACATCTAAAAGGGAATAAGATAATCAGTCATTTAGATGCATCAAGTGATATAGTCATATTGTGCTAAAGTGAGTAATTATAGCCCAGATCTAACAACGTATTGAAATTTAACATGCATTCTTCAGATCCTGAAAAGTAGCTATGACATGACAGTTACATTTACATTGAACATTTATATTCACATTGATGAAATCAGAAATGTTCCTGAAATTAATCTCAGCTTTGACGTGGACTGGTGAAGGAAACCTTAGCTTTACAACGCTATCGGACAGAATCATCAGCCCTCCTTTGTCTTTCAGGGTGACCAAGAGTATGGAGAAAGTTAAAATGCAGTTTGGATTCATCATTTATCATTTTATTCATGAGGCAGAAAACGCAGCTATATTGTGAAAATGAAAAAGCCTTTATGTTCATGCTTTTTAATTACGGTACAGAAACGCTTCCATAGTTGTGGACTTTTGGACTAAAAGCTGCACATTCCCACTCAGAAAGCAGATTCAGGCTGAAATAACGCGCATTTCTGCTCACAGTGGCTCAGTTTTCATCCCTGAAATCAGACGAAACGTGGTGGCTTTACAGGAATGAAAGGCATTCTCTGGTTTTTGAGCAGCACCTGAGTCTGTTTCTCTCACTGCATATGGAAAGCTGCTTAAACTGCTCACACCCGCTTCACTCCGTTAGACATCGAAGGCGCTTTGAATAAAGGCGTCTGCT